TAAAAAAATTTGGACACCATATAAATGGCACATCACTAAGTACAACACATGGTACACTTACAAGTTTTTGGTTTAAGATCTTCAAATCGTTGTTCGATAAAGCTTTTGCAATAAAAAATGATTCCATGTCATCAAGTGCATCATTAGAATTCAACTTCCTGGGTAGTTGAATTTCGGCGACGCTATTAACCTATTTATGTTTACGTTCAAATTTTCTATCATGAAATTTCTTGATGTTTTGCTTCAGATCATCACCTATGATATCGGTATCTTTTAAAGCGCTAGTATCTAGAATTCAAAAACAGATTATTCGGAATTTTACGATATTATTTTCAACACAGATGACTACCAATATGTCCCGTAAAGGTTCATATATAAATGAAAATGCAAATTCGTTAATCATAAGCCTCAAATGAAAGATATTCGAAATACATAATGCATTTATGTAATGAAGAATTAAAAGTTGTGTCGAGGTGCCGCATAATTCTGTAGTTGTGAACGCGTCGCCAAATAATCGAAATATTTTCACATTATATTTATAGGTTAAGACTGACTTCATAGTACTGTACATGGTTTTTGGAGTAGTGTTTTATGATCAATAAAAGTAAAATTTAATTCAAGCGTTGACGTTGAATTTATTATGAATCAAAAAATTAACCTTTCTAGCCTATATTGTTTTTCTTGTAATAAAGATCTAACCTAATCTACTTCTATTGGTAGTATAATTAAGGGAAAGAACCGATTAAACTTTAAATTCGGGTAAAATCAGATTTATATTAAATTAGTTTTGTAATGTTCTATATAATTTGGATGCGTATAGACTCTATTAACCAATTTCCAGGTTTGTTTTATTCTATATATATGAACAATGATCATCAAATAATGCAGTAGTAATGTGAATTAACCAATTCCGACCTTCAGTAAAATTAAGAGTACATGCTACAGTATAATAAACATATAACCCATTTCTGGAGTGGGATTATATGTTTTATTATTGTCTAGATCCCTCCATTATAACCCTAAATAAAATTATATATGATAAGAAAAAAATCGCTCCTATTATGAGGTATTATTTTGTTCTAGTAATATATTCATTTGACTTTGAGCTTCTTCGCATCCGTAACTGAATGCTTTTTGATACCAATGAATTGCTCTATCCAGATTCTTGGAACAACCGATTCCATATTCGTATAGCCGTCCTAGATCGTTCATTCCGCGCACGCACCCTCTATCAGCAGAAGCTCGATAAAATTCATAAGCTTTATTCAAACATCGATCAGTCCCTTTACCGTATTCGTAGCACCGTCCAAGTCCATAATATCCGTGAGCACTTTTTTCTTTTTTCACGCACTTACTATACCACTGAAAAGCTAAATTTTCTTCTTTATGAGTTCCAACTCCGTAAAAATAACAATCGCCAACCATTTCCTGAGCAATAAGGTAATCTTTTCTGGCCGCTGAAAATAACAAAGTAAAAGCTCTCTTTTCATCCTTTTCGCAACCAATTCCCATTAACAAAAAGAGCCCGAGTAAAATTCTGTATGATAAAGTATTCTGATTCTCAGATAACCAACAATAAATGCTGCTGGGTTGTTCATAATTATTGTATATAGATGAGACGAGGCGTTCTTCTATTTTTACATTAGTTGCACATCTAAGTTGTAACAGAGGAAAAGAATCCAGTAGATTATCAGCTACATTGCGAATTGGATCCTCTTCTTCGGGATGATAACGAGGCAATGGACTTAAACTTCTTGTAGTATATGGTCGAGGACTCGTTGACCGTGGACTATAAGAAGATGGCATTAAGGTGTTTCTTTGGTACATTAATAATTAAAATATATTTTGAATTTATGATTTGTATAATTAATTTTAACTCGAATTGGTAAAAGCCTATTTTATTTCAAAATTCTCAATATTAATGATATCTATAAGGTACTGTATATCATTAGAGGTACCCTTATATACTTTTATATCCTAAACAAAAAAAAGAATATTTTGAAGTTAATAAACAAATCACTAGAAGATACGTATGCACCGAGAAAATTAGATTTCTATGTTTTTTTTCTAGAAACAGTGTATCTTATTATGTTTACTCATGGAAAAATAAAACTTCCTTTGACAAAGAGATATTCCTTTATAAGGTTAGTACAGGTATTATG